TGATTTGATTTTCTAACTTTAAAATGATTTGTAATCCTTAAAACTAATAAATCATCTATTAATTTAAATAAAATTACCAATTGATAATTTTTATAAAATAAAATTACGAATTGATTTTAATTAATTATATAAAAAATTAATTAATTTAGATAATAATATGTCAAGTCGATGAACATAAAAATTAAATCAATTGTTTAAACAAGTTGATAAAGTAAAAAGTCAACCAACCACAATATAAATTGATTGTTTAAAATAAATTGATGAATAAAAAAATTTAAATTGACGAACTAAAAAAAATCATTAGTTTAAATAAATTGATAACTTAAATTTTCAATCAAACGAAATATAAGTCCATAATTTAAAATAAATCGATAAAACTAAAAATTAAGTCGACGAAGATAAAAAAAATAAGTTAATTGTTAAATAAGTTTACAAAGTAAAAAATTAAGCAAATGATAATATATGTCAACAGTTTAAAATAAGTCGACAAAACTAAAGATTAAGTCGACAAAGATAAAAAATAAGTCAATTGTTAAACAAGTCGACAAAGTAAAAAATAAAACAAACGAAATATAAGTCAACAGTTTAAAATAAGTCAAAGATTCTGAATATTAAGTCGACGAACATTAAAATAATAAATCAATTGTATAAATAAGTTAACAAAGTAAAAAATCAACCAAACAAATATAAGTCGGTGTAAAATAAGTCAATCTTTATTTTTTTAGTTTAATAAAAAATTTAGCTTTAGATATTGATTTACTAACAAAATATTTTTTAAAAAAAAAATAAATAAATAAATTAAAGTTCGAATTTAAGTTTAATAAATTTATAGTATTATAAATGTATATAGTAAGTTAAATATGTATATGTGTATTTACCTATTTTTATATAATAAAAATATGTTTTCCAAGTTTATAAGATTAAGTGTAATTGTTAAATTTTCATTAAAATTTAGAGTATTTATCTAAATCCCCCAAATCAAAATTAGTTTATCTTTGACACTTACTATGATGGTCATTTAACCATCGTTATTATTAAAGTGACATTTGTTATTAACAATTTTACCATAATAAGCTTAGATTAATCCACTTGTTAAGAGTTTAGTTTTCAAAATTTAAGAAAGTGGTAAGTAGAGATGTTTTGGTCATAACAACAAAACTTTATTTAAAACAACAATTTTTTTTTAAAGAAAGAAATTTCTCTATATTTGATCGCTTATGTGTCGACGTGTCGTATTGTTTGTGCAACCATTATTTTTTTGCAAATTTACTTTTTATCTTATTTAATCCTTTATCTTATCCTTATCAAGCTTATGGATATAATTGTTCTTACCAAGTGTAAGCGATCAAATAATTTTAAGGATTAGAACAATTATCCTTAGCCAAATCCATCACCAGAACCTGATCATGACATGTATTCTGATTCAACATTTCCATATAAATATGTCAAAACATAGAATCTATAAAATTCAAATGCGATATATCTTAATTATATAAAACTTTGATTGGGAAAAATTATAATTGTGATGACTTTAGAAAGTTTCAAAGAAGTTTTGAAACACACCCGTAAATTCTTGGTGGCTTCTCACACTATCCAAGACATATTTTATTAAATTGGATAGAAATGGAGCCAAGACGTTTGCTTAATTGACTGAGTATCATTCAAAGTAAATGAATATATATTGATCAAGTAATGGATGGTGAGGCACATAGTCAACGACTAAACCCAATCAAAGTTTATTATTAGAAACAAGAACTTAAAATACGAGTATTTGATCTTGCGCCATACCCAATCATCAAATATAGACCTATATTTGACCGAGAATGCAACATATTTAAGATGTTAGTTGGTGAGATGAATTTATTTCAATCATCAATGTGAGATAGAGAAGAAAAAAAATACACTAAAATCATACAATAGAATTGAATACAACATTCTATATAGCAAAATATATGTGCGGGAAGTTTGGAGAGATTAAAATAAAAGGTGCCAAATGAATATTGTTATATAATAATATTGGATAATGCGTATATTTAAAAATACTTATAATCCCATAGCAATTGAGATGTCAAGTCATCGTCCACCAAGAAAATAATGCAGCCTTGTGTACTTGCCCAATTATCCATACTTTGGGAACCATAAATTGAAATAAAGTGATTTTTTTTCTTTTCAAGAAGCATTTGTTTAATATGCCATAATCCCACTATGTCCTAATGTGTAATTGTATGTTAGTAAATACATTTATGGTCGCCTATAAAGTGATTTTGGACATTTGTATTATTAACGTTTAATATCAAGAATTTCCCTATATTTTTTCTTTCTTTGACATTTCCAATACTTACATCTACAATGAGTTTTTCTTTCTAGTTATTCATCTCTATAAAATCCTACTATAATTTTAAATCGGATCGACTTACTTTGAGTTAACATCATTTAATTGGGATATGATATTTTGAATATAAATCATATAAAATATTACGAAATTGAACTTTGAAAGAATGAGCAGCACCGAGTCAGCATGACTAGTTTATTGTAGAAATTAAACAATAGATATTTGCCAAGAAGTCCCAAAGATATACACACTGCATCATATAACTGGACCCCCTAATTATTTTTAGGTTATTCTTTATTACTAATTTTATTTCTTCACGTTAGAGCTATAATATAGTACAGAATAAATAAAAAAGAATTAAGGAGTTAACATCATAGACTCACTTGGGTTAACATCATAGACTTACTTACTTTTCTTAATTTATGTAAATTAATCCGATCCAAAATGTTAAGTCTTATTGCTTTACGGCTTGGGTGATGTTAAAAGTAAGGATATTGCGAAGCCACGTCAGGATAATCTTGAAGCATATGCCATAATCCCACTATGAATATTCCTTTTATTTCGTTTTTTCGTTTAACAAAATGTGGTAAATGTATTTGTGATGTCATTATGAGTATTTAGTAAACTGGTAGTTTTATTATTGAGGATTAGGACACAACACGAGATACCATTTTTTATTCAATTGTAGGCTAAACTGGTGTCCATTCAACATGAAATGTTAAGAAAAATATTGTTTTTGAGAATAACATTTTATTTAAATTACAAAAGAAAAAAAAAACATACATATTTGTATATATCGTCTACTCTGATACCATACATACATATTTGAAAAGAAAACAAAACTTTATCAAGAACCCATACCATCCCAAACCAATGTCGTTCGTTGTTCACAACATAGTAGAAATTTTTTTTAACCTATATGAAACATGAGAGAAAGTTCAAAAAAGAAAAAAAAAATGAATCATGAGAGATAGTGTTAAAAGGTTCCAACATAGTAGAAAAGTTTCAATTTTTTCCTTTTCAAAAAGAATATAAATGACAGCAGTAACTGATTCAATCTTATTATAAAAGATATTGAATACTGAATTCATACAATATAATATGAATCCATATAATCCAAATTTGACATGGTCGTTTAGAATCTTTTGATAATACCATTTATATGTGGTTAAAACAAAAATACGTGACAAAAATGTTGTGATACATACAAAACTTGGTGTGACGTAAATAAACGCATATAAAATTTGGAATATTTGTACTTTCTCCGGAAACATAAGTATATATTTGACAATTATATATTGAGATTTTGGAAAATTTGATTATGTTATTGACTTGTAGAATCTATGGTTGGAGATAAACAGATTTTTTTTGTTTGTGTTTTTGTTAACTTCCAAATATACACAGTTGATTTTCTATGGATCCTAAAGGTCCAATAATTTGAAGTTTATTATAACATCCCTACAATCATGTGTTGCATTTGAGTTTTGTTTTGATTTTTTTTTAACGCTAGATGTGCTATTTATGCAATCTCAACTTAAAAACTTGGGTGAATTGGTGGGATAACCAAAAAAAAAAATTATAATTTAAAAATAACAAATTAGGT